GAAGGGTCCTGACCCAAAACGTCAGCTTTCCTGTTCCTCTGATGCTGCCTGGCCTGCTGTGTTCCTCCAGCTCCACAGTATGTTATCGCATGTACAAGATGAGTTTAGAATTGTTGTGTGAGAGGATTCTAAACAAACTCGGGGAAATGGAGTTTGAGGGCAAGGATTGATCTCAAAAGGAAGATGGGCCTGCTAGGTTAAGGAATGGAGGGAACCGTAGGGACAGCTGATCGGATTGTCACTAAGATTGAGACTAAGCAGTCCATGAGCTTTTTGCACTTATAAATGAATAAATCTAGATAGCGTTCCACATGGTCCAGCCAGATCTGGCGATGAATTGTTATAGCGGTTATTCATGATACTCATTCCTTGGACATTAGGGAATGAAGGAGAAATGGCTTGGATGAGAGATTTTTCGTTCCGCTCCACAAGAGAGCCTTCTAAGGATGCTTCTTTTTCTTTAGGGCAACTTTAGCATTTTTTCCAGGTCTGAATAGCACCTTTATTTTCTCTTTTTTTCTTCCCCCCTAAGCACAAGATATATATTGGGAAATAACGCAGGGCAAGTGACTGAGGTGTTAGTGGGAGAGCACTTTGGGACCAGCGACCATAATTCTACTAGTTTTAAATAGTTACGGAAAAGGATAAGTTTCATCCACAAGTTAAAGTTTTAAACTGGAGCAAAGCCAATTTAGACAAGAACTTTATAAAGTTTATTGGGGGAGGCTGTTCGTAGGGAAATGAATATCTGGAAGGTGGGAGGCTTTCAATAATGAGATAATCAGAGTTCAGGGCCAGCATGTTCCTGTTAGTGTGAAATGCAATGTTGACAGGAGGAGAGATATTGAGTCTCAGGTCAAGAAAATGAAGGAGGCACTTCTCAAGTATAGGCAGCTGGGATCTACTGAATACCTTGGAAGAGTATAGAGGGTGTAGGAGTACACTTGAGAGGGAAATCAGGAGGGAAGAAACAGGACAACAGCTTTAACAGATAAGGTAAAAAAAAAACAAAGAGATTCTACAAGTATATTAACGGCAAAAGAGAAAGTAGGGAGAGAATAGAGCCCTTTAAAGATCATAAAGATCAATAAGGTCATCTATGTGTGGAGCGACAGGAGGTTCTTAGTAATATTTGTCATTAGTATTTACCATGGAGAAAGACATGGAAGCTAGGGAACGCAGGGAAGTAAATAGTGATGTCTGAAAATAATCCACGTTACAAAAGAGGTGGTGCTGGAAATAGACAAATCCCTGGAACCTGATCAAGTTTGCCCCAGGACATTGTGGAAGCTAGGGAAGAAATTGCCAGTCCCCAAATGGATACAAAATTGGCTTGACGGTAGGAGACAGAAGGTGGTGGTAGAAGATTGTTTTTCAGATTGGAGGCCTGTGGTCAGCAATGTGCCACAAGAATCAGTACTACTACTGTTTGTCATTTATATAAACAATTTGAATGAGAAGATAGGGGGCATGGTTGGTAAGTTTGGGGATGACACTAAAATTGGTGGTATATTGGAAAATAAAGGTCATCTAAGTGTATAACAGGATCTTGATCAACTGGGCCAGTGGGGTGAGGCAAGATAGCTGGAGTAGAATTCAGATAAACGTGAGGTGTTGCATTTTGGTAAGGAAAACCAGGGCAAGACATACACAGCTAATGGTAGGGGCCCTTGGACTGTTGTCAAACAGAGAGACCTAGGGATGCAGGTACCTAGCTCCTTAAAAGTAGAGTCACAGGTGCCAAGTTTGCCTTCGTCGTTCAGAAATTGGTAAGACCACATTTGAAGTACTGCGGACAATTCTAGCGACCCTGCTGCAGAATGTGATTGAACTGGTAAGGGTGCAAAAAAGATTTACCGAGGATGTTACCAAAAATGGAAGGTTTGAGTTATAAGAAGAGATTGGATATGCTGGGACATTTTCCCTGGAACGTAGAAAGCTGAGTGGTGATCTTATTGAGGTTATAAAATCACGAGGGGCATAAATAAGGTGAATAGCTAAGGATTTTTCCTCAGCGTAGGAAGTCAAAAACTAGACGGCATAGGTTTAAGGTGAGAGAGGAAAGATTTAAAAGGGACCTGAGGGGCAACTTTTCCAAACAAAGAGCAATGCGTATATGGAACAACTGCCAGAGGAAGTGTGGAGGCAAGTATTGTTACAACATTTAAAAGACATTTGGACAGGTACATGGATAGGAAAGGTTAGAGGGATATGGGCCAAATGCAGGCAAACGTTTAGTTTACAAAACCTGGTCAGCATGGGCCGAAGTGCATGCTTCCATGCTGTATACTTCTGTGACTTTATCCAAGATAAGGGGGCCGTGAATTGAGAAGAAAGAGGGCAGGAAAAGTTGAGATGGCGATTGATGCTGGTTACCAAAATAAGAAGTTGCTTAGAACAAAAGCCATGGGAGACAAAATCATAACAATGTCCTGCAAGAAAACTTTCACAACCCTTGAGTTGGCAATAGAAATAAAGTATTTTGAATGAGGAGTAAGGAGAGTATTACAACTGGTGAAATTCTGAAAAGAGAGAAACTGTCAGCAGCTCAGCAGCTGGTGAAATCCCTGGATACTGGGCTGATATCTCCCCCCACTCCATCCCCATCTAATCTAAGGCAGAGGTCTCCCTCCAAGAGCAGTATGGGATTTCCTGGAGACACTCTGTTCTACCTGATTCAATGAATTGATTAGGACAAGTCCATTGTGAAGGTCTCCCAGGGACAGATTGATATGTTAATTATTTATTAGTTCTGACAGTGTATATCAGGGATAACGAATACACCATTCCACGTGCACAAAGAAATAGCAGAAATGAATGAACTCAGATCTTGTGATTCCACCAGTTTTGTGGCACTAGAAGTAGATAAAACTCAGCTCCCTACTGCTAATAAGCACCTGTATCTGATTCAATTGAGACTTTTGTTAATTCAGGTGGTTAATGACCTCATTCTCAGGTATGGCATCCTGCGATTTCAGTCCAGCTCATCACAGTTTCCCTGCTTTACTGTGACAGTAACGGAGTCATTAGTGGTGACTCTAAAGGGCTGGATTAAAGGGTTAGAGATAAAGTAAGGATTCCTCTATACTATTGTATCAAATAGTCCAAGTCTGTTATCGGCTAGGTTAGATCTAGAGTAAAGCTGGGCTGTTCCGGACTAAAATAAGATGAAAATTTTTGTGGTTAATATTTTTCAAGACTATGAAATGTCTCAAACACTTGACAGTTTGCAATGTCACTGTCACCTACAAATCCAAAGAAGGATAACATCTGCTTAAATGCATGATTTCTGTCCTCAAGTATCTCAGCTAGCCAATTCTAAACCTATACATCTTTAGGCACAAAGAGATGGGAGTTGTACTGAAGTACGAGGACCTCAAGTCAAGGGTGTGCTCTTTTTCCTTCCCTTCTATAGCTTCTCCATAACAGTTTATGTGGTCAGTTTCTGGTCATGTTGGATGAGCCATCACCACATTGTGCAGTTAGCAAGTTCCTCCCATTCATTGATGTCAATTTGTCTCCTTTTCAATGAGGCCTTCAGAATATCCTTGAAACACTTTCCCTGCTCCCATTTAAATTGTGAAAAGAGGATTAGCTTCAGAATCTGATTACCGTAGAAGTTCAGTATTATGTGGTTGTGATACTGGTTTTCGGTGATGTGGGTTTGTTCGCCTGCTTCCCATTCGACTGTGAGTATCCTGCTGAGACAGTATTGGTGGAAATTCCCCAGCAAACAAAGGTGCATTTCTTCAGTGATCCAACATCATTGGAAACTCAACCCCTTGTTCCCCTAGGAGACCTATCTCATCGAAGACTCTGTTGCTCAATTTTTGAAAGGTTGCACTAACATAATAGATTCTGTCCTGAACCTCCTCTTTGATGGTAAATCTTTAAGAGACATTTCTGCAAGACAGGGAGGTGTTTGATTAGTTCTATAGTCTTCCTATTATTAATGACAACTGGAATGTATTTGTTGTTATAATACAGAAAATATGGCAGCCAACTCCCAAAAACAATATTGTGAGATTGGCTGAATAGTGTGTTGTTATCAAGTTAATCAGGCAGGAGAACAGAGAAAACTCCTCTTCAAAGTAGCCCCATTGTTTATATCTACCTGACTTGGCAGGACAATAGGTCAAAACTTGAATAAAAGCACAATACTGCAGATACTGGAAACCTTAAACAAACACAGAACACTGGAGAAACTCAGCAGATACAGCAGCATCTGCAGAGAGAGAAACAGAGTTAATATTGCGTCTAGTATGACTTTGTTCTGAGGAAGAGTCATACTGGACTTGAAAACATTAATTCTGTTCCTCTCTCCACAGATGTTGCCAGACCTACTGAGTTTCTGTGTGTTTGTCTCGGTTTAACATCCTGCCCAAAAGCTGGCATCTCTGACAGAGTCACACAGTTGCTCCATAGTGTCACAGAGCAACAGCCTTGATTTTTGTGCTTGAGCTCTCAAGTAGGACTTGTAGCCAGAATCTCTGACTTCAGAGTCAAGACTACAAGGCACTATATGCATTTGACAACATTGACAGCACTTCAAAAGTTTGTCATTGGCTTGAAAGTACTTCAAAATCACCAAATTTCTGGAAAAGAGCTATATAAGTGCAAATGTTTGTTCGCTCACCAGCCCTCCTCTGAATTTTGGGAATGAGAATGTCACTGTTTTCACACCACCAAGTGATGGCTTTGTACCAAATTAAAAAGAACAAAAATTGCTAGAAAAACTCAGCAAGTCAGGGAGCATCTGTGGAGAGAAGTGGAGAGACAGAAACTGTTCAGTCAATGACCTGAAATGTTAATTCCTTCTCTCCACAGATGCTGTCTCAGCTGCTGAGTTTCTCCAGCAGCTTCTATTCCTAGTTTGGATCTTCAGAACCAATAATATTTTGCTTTGTTTTAAAGTAACTTAATTTCGACATGAACTGATTGGATCAAAGTGCTTCTTTCTCCATTATCACTGTAGTGTTTCGCTACATATATACACTTACCAGTAACACCAAAATCACTGGGCCTTGGTAGATGTAGTCAATGTGTTTTCGTGACCGCTTACCAAACCAGCACCTACAGTCAAACAAATAAATTGTGACAGAAGTGAACAAAACCAAACTGACTTGCTCACCTTCAGCATTTAGCTCCCTGGTTTATCTGCTCACTGTATGATGGTACTATTGCATTAAGAGGTGTATTCTGTCCCTTTTTTTAATAAAGAGGTTGAGACATAAGTGCTGAGTGATCTGTTTCAAGCCAATAAAGTAAACAGCTTGTGATGCCTTGAGTTAAATACTAAATAAAAACCAAAAGAACTGCGGATACTGTAAATCAGGAACAAAAACAAAGTTGCTGGAAAAGCTCAGCAGATCTGGCAGCACCTGTGAAGGAGAAAACAAAGTTAACATCACTGGACCCGAAACGTTAACTCTGTTTTCTCCTTCACAGATGCTGTCAGACCTGCTGAGCTTTCCCAGCAACTTTGTTTTTGTGATGCCTTGGGTTTTTTTTAAAAGTTGAAACTATAGAAGCAGCATGAATGGGTGAAGTCAGGATTCCACAGAACTGGGATTTTAGTTTAGTTTTTAGCAGTTGTTGGGGTTTTGAAGTTGGCTGTGGAAGCTGTCTCTCTTTCTACCAGAATTTTCTCTCTTTGCTATCAGAATCACAAATGAGACAATCTATTTTATTGAATTTGCCTTTGCAGTGTTTCTGGGGTGTTACTATATTGGAACAGTTGTTGTTTAGGAGTTGAAGAATCTATTATTTCATTAAGTTTTCCAATAGAGTTAATCATACCAATTCTTCTTTCTTTTGTTTGTATTTTAATGATAGCGTAAGAATAAATAGTGTTTTGCTTAAAGCCAAATCAGTGTATCCAATCTAATTATATCTGGAACAGAGTACCTTACATTTGCCTTCAAATAAGATTTAAAGTTAGGGTCCAGGCTATTTCCGTGATATTTTTGAAGGTGGTTTGGTCTGGTCCACAACAACTGTAACTACAACCTCTCTCCTCAAATGGCTATGATGTAGAGTTGCCGGTGTTGGACAGAGGTGGACAAAGTCAAAAGTCTCACAACACCAGGTAATGGTCCAGGCAGGTTTGTTTAAAATCACAGGCTTCAGACCCACTTCACCTGACGAAGGAGCAGGCGCCGAAAGCTTGTGATTTCAAATAAATCTGTTGGACTATAACCTGGTGTCATGTGACTTCTGACTTTGTCCACAAATAGCTACTGAATATTGCATAATAAGCTATGCCTAATGACAAAATCAGAGAGAACCAGGGTTTCTGATAGGCGATCTTACTATCCCTTGTATATAGTTAAGATCGATAAAACATCTTAATGTTCATACTCCTGATCTGACCTTACTAAACAGTGACAATGGTGACCAGATGGGTGGCATGGTGGTTCAGTGGCTAGCACTGCCACCTCACGGTGCCAGGGACCCTCCTCTTCGGAGCGTCGGTGTGGACACGATGGACTGAATGGCCTTCTTCCACACTGTAGGGATTCTATGAACTATAAGATCCATGGAATAAAAGACAAACAGCACAAACTGCCTGAAGTGAGACCCAGAAACAGGTGATTCAAACAAGTTGAGTCAGTGGAAAAACAAATGGCAGATGCAGTACAATGTGGCTAAATGTGAAGCTGCACACTAAGGTGTGAGAAGCAGAGAGGAAAAGTATAATTCAAATAGTGATATATTGGGAAGTGTGGATACATAAAGGGATCCGAGTGTCCTTGTATACCAGTTAATGAAAGTAGACAGGTGGATGCAGCAAGCAATTTGGAAGGCAAATGGTATACTGATCTTCATTGCAAGAAGGCTTTAGTTCAGAAGTAGGGATGTTTTACTGCAGTTATACAGGGCGTTAGTGAAACCACACCTGGCGTATTATATGAAGGTTTGGCCCCCTCCATAAGAAAGGACATACTTGCCATAGAGGAAGTTCAGCAGAGGTTCACTAGGCTGATCCTTGGAATGGCAGGACTGTCCTATGAGGAGGGATTGGTTCAACTGGGCTTATATGCACTGGAGGCTAGAAGAATGAGCGGGTATCTGATTGAAGCATATAATATTTTAACAGATTGGACAGACTAGATGCATCGAGGATATTTACCCTGGTTGGGAAATCTAGAATCAGGAGACATAGTCTCAGGATATGGGACAGATCATTTAGGACTGAGATGAGGAAAAAAATGACTTCACTCAAAGGGTAGTGAACTCTTAAAATTCTCTTTGACAGAAGGCTGTGGAGACTAAAACACTGAATATATTTAAGAAAGAAATAGATACATTTTTAGTTTTTAAAGGCATAAGGGAAATGGGGAGAAAGCAGGAATATGACAAAGGATTAGCCATGATCATGTTGAATGGTGGAGCAGGCTTGAAGGGCCGAATAGCCTGCTCCTTCTTCTAGTTTCTGTGTTTCTATGAAAGCAGAGTGCTACAGGTGAACAAACCTACAAGTGTGAGAAAAACTACTGAAAGAAACTTAGCAGTGACAGACAGGAATGAATAACAGACTTCAAAGCACACTTAGGATCCAAACAATGGAGATACAAAGCCCACTAAAAGACTAAAAAAGAAGATAAAGCTCACAACAAGAAGCATCTCAAGTAAAATGTAAGTTATTGATCACACCGAGTAAAATATTACAGGAAATCTTTTCAGCGATAGGGAAGAAAGAAGTACTCGGAGTCTGCTTGATAAAAAAGTAAGAGAAAACAGAGGCTGCTGAAGGCAGGAGCTAGGCCTGGCCAGTATTATACTCTTGAGGCAAACAGACAGACCAGTTTGAGTTGTATTGGCAGCACAGAAAGTTAAGAAAACAGATCACAGCAGTCTGCAAGAGTTAGACTAAGAATGCTGAGGAAGAAATCAAATTCTTTTTGGGGGATATAGCACACCTACCAGATGCTTTCAGATCCTCTGATTTTGCAGACAAACAAGACAAGTTTAGATGTGTAGATATAATGGTTAATGGCTGAAAATGGCTTTTAAATTTGATACAAAGACTGAGGTATTTATTCTTTCAGATGCTTACCCAAGATTGAGAGAAAAAATTCTCAGATCATCTTACATTCACCTTTGGAGCACAGGACGCAGTAAAATCAGAGTAACAGAGCAGATTCACATTCAGTATAATGGAAGAACATTTCAGAAACCCTGTACATCTTTATAAATATTGTGCTTCTTTATGAAGTGGAGATGCCTGCGTAGCTTTGATTTATAGAAGAAGTTCTTTGGCCGATCATGTCCCTATTAGGGAGAAAGGAAAAACTGGCAGGTTTAGGGATCCCCGGCTGATGAAGGATATTGAGGCACTGGTCAGGAGAAAGAAGGCAAAAGAAGGTTTAAGCTATTGGGCTCAAGTAAATCTCTAGATGACTATAAAAAGAATAGGAGCACACTTAAGAGGGAAATCAGTAAAGCAAAAAGAGGGTGTGAGATGGATCTGGCAGATAAGGTTAAAGATAATCCCAAGAAATTGTACAGCTATGTTAAGAGTAAAAGAGTGGCGAGGGAGCGAATAGGTCCCCTTAAAGATCAACATGGCTGTCTTTGTGTGGAGCCACAGGAGATGAGGGAGATTTTTAATAAATTCATAGAATCCATACAATCCCTACACAGTGTGGAAACAGGCCCTTCGGCCCAACAAGTCCACACCAATTCTCAGAACGTCCCATCCAGACCCATTCCCCAAACCCACCTAATCTACACATCCCTGGACATTATGGGCAATTTAGCATGGCCAATCCACCTAGCCTGCACATCTTTGGACTGTGGGAGGAAACCGGAGAGCCCGGAGGAAACCCACGCAGACACAGGGAGAGTATGCAAACTCCACACAGGCAGTTGCCCGATGGGCAATCGAACCCAGGCCCCTGGCACTGTGAGGCAGCAGTGTTAACCACTGAGCCACCATGCTGTTTTTACTGTATGTTTTTTTTAAAAATTTATTTATTAATGGGATGAGGGCTTTGCTGGCTAGGCAGCATTTATTGCTCATCCCTAATTGCCCAGAGGGCAGTTGAGAATCAACCATATTGCTGTGGGTCTGGAGTCACATGTAGGGCAAACCAGGTGAGGATGGCAGTTTCCTTCCCTAAAATCATGAGGGGCATGGATAGGATGAATGCATATTGTCTTTTTCCCAAGGATAGGGAATTAAACTAGAGGGCGTAGATTTAAGGTGAGAGTAGTGCGTATATGTAATGGGCTGCCAAAAAAAGTGGTTGGGGCAGGTACAATTGCAACATTAAAAGAAAACATTTGGATAGGTATATCGATGGGAGGGCTTGAGAGGGATATGGACCAAATGGGGCAATTGGAACTCGCTGAGCGGGCACCATGGTCAGCATGGACCAGTTTGAGCTGAAGGGCCTGTTTCCATGCTGTATTACTGTATGACTCTATGACTTTGTCTCACCAACAAAAAAATTACTTTAAATCTGTGAAGAATTGAGCACTGCCAGGGAAGCAGGAAACAAGAGTTTATGACAGTTCAATACCAAATGTACACAAGAGAAATTACAAACATTCCTACATCCAGAAAATTCACTGCAATACTTTAAATACTTTGAGAACTTAGAAGAAAAATCTTTAATCATGCATACAGCTCGAATAAAGATTCATGAATATTGAAGCAGGGTGGAGGATATCCCACATGCATTGCCAGAATATGATCACATCTTTACAATCATGCATAGAGAACATCTGGAGTCATTGAGTCGTACAGCATAGAAACAGGCCCTTCAGTCCACCACAACTATTCTGACCAACAACACCAAATTATACTAATCCCATTTACCTGCACATGGTCCACAGCCTACAACGCCCTGGCATTTTCAGTGCTCATCCTGATGTTTCTGAAATGTTGTGAGAGTATCTGCCTCCAGCATCCACTCAGGCACTGCATTTCTTATTTCTTCCACCCTCTGGGGAGAAAGGTTTTCCTCAGATCTCCTCTGAACTACTTAGTCCTCACCTTAACCTGTGCCCTTTTGGCTTAGATATTTCTGCCATCAGGAAAAAGATTCCTAACCTATCTATGTCTC